CCAAAATTAAATATACTCTATCAGCATTTCTTGCCGCAAGCGTGTTTCCATGCCATCCCCCAGGGGAGGTACTGCTTGCTGGATGTGGATGGAGTGTCACTGAGGGGCCTCCTAAAATAAATATTATGGCCCCACTCCAGGAATGGTACAAAAAAATAGCTGGTTATTTAGATAATGAGGGACTGGGCTCTGCCTCCTGTGGCCTGGAAACACCTCTATGTTTTCCTAACATTTTTACGTCCACAACCCACAGAACACACAAAAAAGCCTGTCCTGGTACACAGCTCATCCACATTGGTGAAGAAAACTTGACTAGTTGGGATGCACTTTGATCCTTACATTTCTTTCCTATTCTGTTCTATTTCATTAAAGAAAAGAAATGAAAAGAAACGCTGGTCCACGTGAATGGAGGTGCACTAAGCTGTTTCACCAGCACTGCAGGCTCCATCCTTGACCCGGGCTGACTTGAGCTGCCACAGACAAATAGATTTTATATGGAGGACTAGGACACGCTGCTTGGCCTCTTCTATCCAGTGGGGCTGGTTTTACCTGTCCAGCTCTTCAGGTTGTGTGAACATCATATGGGACCCTTTATGAAAGAGCTTTCTCTCTGTAGAATGCCACACAGGTGAAAGATTATATTATTGCCAAAACTTTAATTCTTGGCAAAGTACTCAACAGATTCTTTTCTTTAACTATTATATATTGCCAATATCTCACATTGAGACTCCAAGTGCTAACTTTCTGTCTGTAGTTAAATTTTTGGTTGGTTTGTAAATTAAAAAAAAAATACTTTGGTTGATTTTTTTTTTTTTTTTAAGAAAGTTTGTTGGGGAACAGAATGTTTTTCCAGGACCCATCAGCTCCACGCTAAGGAATTGTTTCAATCTAGAAGTGGAGGGCGTTTTTCCAGGGCCCATCAGCTCCCAGTCAAGTAGTTGTTTCAATCTACTTGTGGGAGGTGGGGGCACAGCTCAGCGGCCCATTCAGGGATCAAACCGGCAACCTTAGTGTTATGAGCCTGTGCTCTAACCACCTGAGCTAACTGGCCGCCCACTTTGGTTGATTTTTAAAGAACACTCTCAACTATAGTCACTTAATGCATTATGATCATTGTGTGTTTAATATGTTAGCGTTGCTCTTATCTTTACAGAATTGATCAGCAGAAATTAAATAAGCATAATCTTGAAAGGACGTCGATCCCCTTTGTGTTTTAACAATATTAGTGAAGTTATTAGGAGAGTTTTGTTAGCCACCATCCTAGTAAGTAGTGGGGAGAGAATACCTGTTGTCCCCAAGGCAGAAAGTGATACCATGTAAGCCCTACAACCCTTGGAGGCTGTCAGCAGGAGGTCCTCTTGAATTGCTCCAGGCTAACTTACAAACAGATACATTTAAACTAAGTATTCTATGTGAATTAGTGCTAATGAATCCATATATATTCTTAGTTCTCACGTGGGCTGTCATGTTCACTATTCAAAATATGCTTTTGATCTTGTGCTTGTGACTTTTGTTGTGGTAAGTTGTTTTCAAAGGCCCTTTCTTGCTTTTAGACACTGTGTGTTGAGAGATAAGAGGATGGTTTGTGTTGGCAGTGAGTGAGGCTCTGTGCCTCCCTCGTCCCAGGAGCTGTCATTCCTGTGTATGTGTTGCTTGCGCTGGAGGGAACTGTCCCAGAATCAATATTTGCATAGGAAATTTCCCCTAACCTACTCTTATTCTGAGCAGATAAAAGAAAAATAAAGGTAGAAATCTAAATCACTGCTTCCTCCTCCTCTCACCAGATGAGCCACACCTCTAGGAGGCATGAAGAGAGAAATTGCCTCCCTATTTGTTCCTTGAGGTCCTTGTATTAAAGGGTCATAGAGCACTCCCTTTTCTGGTGAATCACTATATATTTACTTACATGAGACTTCTTGGGGGTGTCATAAATCCTTGAAAGTCCAGTATAAGTAAGTTTTTGTTCCCAACTGGTATATATGAACCACTGGCTAAAATGCAATTTTGGAATCATAGTTTTTTCAGTATTTCCAAGAAAATCACGTTATCTATGCGTTGAAAGAGACTATGCTTTTTTCTTCGTCAGCAGGGTGCTGAGATTCAGAGTCTGACAGAACTTTGAGAGTCTCTCCATTATTCTGGGTGAGATGGATTGCTGAGTTCCCTTGCCACGGCCCTTAATTTGCTTGTGTTTCTAATTTTTTGCTAGGGTAACCAAAGTGTAATGCAGGACAGCAAATACTGGGGTCTTCAAAGATGTGACAGAAAATGTAGCACTGTTGTTGGGGAGAAGCTAGAAATATAGGACTGAATTTTTATCCTAAGTGTGCTTTTGTGCTAATCTCTTCCTCCTGTTATTCTGTTTAGATGTCTTAAGAATTTTGCCTAAATCTCAACAACATAGTGCTAATTCTCAATCCTGAAATTGTTATTCATTATCTTGCATGTCCTATTTCATAGTATCATAAAGTAAGAAAAGGAAATGCATCTACCCCCAGAACGTTGTAGTTTTAAAAACAAACACATGAATTTAGTAGGCAAAATATTCCAAAATTTAATTTTCTTAATTATCATCGAAACTAAAAATTTGAAGAGCAAACATTCAAATAAAGCATAAATTAAGTGCCAAGGTATTGTTGGTACCTCCTGTGGGTGAAGTTGCCCCACACTGGTATAGTATCAAATTGCTCCCCCGCCAAAAAAATATTACTCCCCATTACAGGATGAGGAAGGACTTCTTATATTATTTCAATTAGTTAAGTGGAGTTCCTTACTTCTCCAGCCCATTGCATTTTTAAATGAAATTTAGGATGTTATTCTATATTTTATTTTTTCCTTTGCATTCACCCCTTATTTTTCCAAGAAAACATTAGTGTTTTTCTTTAGTCTTAAATTTTCTCCTAACCGGGCAACAGTAGCAACAGGGGACCCCCTTTGAACAGCATGAATGGAACTTTTTGCTGAAAATAGAAGAAAAGCTTCTGCCCACTTCCGCCGTTCCTGCCTTGCCTTTAGATGCTCAGCTGGTAGGAGTTATCCTAGTTACCAATGGAGTTTAACAGAATTTCCCTCCCCCCCACTTTTTTCATAAATAGTTATGAAAGGCGTAGCTATATAAGTAGGTGTAGTCAAGTCGTGCCATTTAGGCCCCTTGGGGAGGAATTATTATCCCGTTAGTTGTTACAGAGCTCACATTGTATGCACGGCCTTTAGGTGGGCTCCACAATTAGCACCACACAGCAGGAGGAAAGGCATACAAAAGTAGAAGGTACATGAAATTATATTTTTAAAAATACAGAGCAGAAAGCATAGTATTTAAAAGTACACAAAACAATGCAAACCGAATTCAAAAGTACAGTGGGTGACCTCACTACCCACAAGGTTGGTATGTTTCTGGTCTGCTTTACATGGAGAGGGCAAAAAGAATAAATGATATGAAGACGAGCAAGAACTCAGTCTACGGAGCAGGGCTCATCCTTAATTGCTTCTTCTCCCTCCTCACCTCAACCCCCGGCCCCATATTCAATTCACTGGCACACTGAGTCCACATTGTCTAAAAACACAGCTGAAATCCTTCATGTTTCTTCAGCTCATTGCCGCTTCCCTGGGGCGAGCCAACGTCATCTCTCGCCAAGACAAGAGCAAGTCACCTGGTCTCCCTGCTTCCCGTCTTGACTCTCTTAAGTCTGTTCTCCACAAAAAAAGGCAAAAAGAACTTTTGAAAGTATATGTGTATACATCAAATCATGCAATTCCCGATTTGAATTCCTTAGTGCTTCCCTATGCTCTTAGGCTAAAATCTGAATTGACCACGGTCTATGCTTTCTCCCGAGGCCTGTCTCATATCACTCTCACCTGCCATGGGTGGCTCCATCACAACCTACAGGTCTCAGCCCAAATATCACTTCTCCAAATATCACCGCCTCTCCAAAATGGCCTCCCCCACTTGGTTTTCTGTCATTTCCTCGTTTCTCATGATCTTTAATTCCATTTTATTTTAAAAATTGTTATTATTGTTGCTATTCGTTGTGGCAATAGTTGTTATTCTTTGGTTAACTCCCCAGCTAGTATGTGTACTTCATGAGATCAGGGATTTATTCTCTGTTCACAAGAATAACTCCAGTGCCCGGCACGTGGTAGGTACTCAGTTAACATTTGTTAAGATGAAAGAGCCAGCTGTATAGAGAAAAATAATGAAATCACTGTGCTTGAGTCAGAGTTGTGTACACTATGTTTTGATGTTGAGTATCAGTGTGAAGTTGGAGATTAGGAGGAAGCTAGAGAGTTCAAGGTTCACTGATGAACAGAGAGTTCTAACTTGATAAGATAAGCTACGTAGGCCAAAGCATGGCACTTATTGTGATAGTGTTTGAGATTGATGAGTTCAGCAGCTGTGCCCAAGCTGTACGACTGTATTAGGGAGAAGCTGAAATCAAGGGCTTTTGTGTCATGAGGTCGTTGCACCGGATGGAAAGGGAGACAAGGACTTGGACAAGGAGATGCTGGGGGAATGTGGCAGAAGAGGTGATTTCAAGACTCCACAGCTCAGAATTCTGTGGTAGCAATGCACTGAGCAATCCACATATAAAATATGCTTCTTATATAACACTAAACGATTAGCCCAAAAAAAAATCACAGTAAGAAAAATGACATTCTCACATGAACTTGATAGACACCTTCATCTGTACCCCAACTCCCCTTTGGGTGAAGCGCAAAACTGACATGATGATGTCTTGATAGGCTTTGGTGACAAGGGGAATAAGGTCAGTTTTGCATTGCCATTGATTTTAATAAATGAGATGATGTACATGAAAAGTGCCCAGTGCTGTTAGTTAAATTTTTCGTCCTAGTAATAAAAAGATACTACCAATATTTACATTTTGTGAATCTGCATAATATTATTTTTTCCTGTCGAATTGCTCTCTGAAAGAAAAAGATCTGAAACAGTTTTTTATGATGCTACATTTGTTTAATAGTGCTCTTTTTTTTTTTAATTTAAGCAATTGAACAAGATGAAGAAAACAGTGACAAACACGTAACTGTGACAGATGCTGAAGGGGTTCCAGATTCTCAGGTATGATAAGTCCTGTGACAGTCCCTGAGGGCACCCTTCTTGTCTGTTGGAAAGATGAGATAGTGCAGGTTTGATATAGGTTTTGCCTCTTACGCTCTGTAAAATAGTCATATTATGGGAATAAAGTACTTGTTTTTGATAAAGAGACCTTTCACAAGAAAGGTCCTAAATTGATAATCACATTCATAATTTGATTCATGCAGGAGGGACAGATAGGGAGACAAACTCTACTCCTCAGAAAAAAGCAAGGAAAGTAAGTGGTGAACCAGGAGAGACCAGTCTTAGGGAAGACCATCCCCCCCCCGCCCCCCGAGATGGCAGAGGAGACTCAGCTAGCTGACAGCATGACGGCTGGGGCTTGGCCAGGCGGATTGGTGTCATGCCACACCTGCCAGGGGTTCTGTGCCACCCCCCAGTGTCTACTTCCTGGCATGAATGGGATTTTGGTAGCACCTTACCTGCAAATACTACAGCAGCATAAAAACTTGGACACCCAGTGCTATCAAATGTTAACTTTATGTAAATGCAGAGCTTTTAAAGATTCTTAGTGGGAACAGCAGTGAGAGATGCAGCACAGGTGACATTCTTTTGCAAGTCCCTAATAATTCAACTCCTCAGAAGTCCATCCTCCTTGACACCCGGCTATAACATATGTGACATAGCTAAATATCTAGTTCCCTTAAGCCGATTTCTCAACCTTTTTGAGTTTTAGATTACTCATCGATAAATCTACCTGATAGGACAGTGGTGAGGATTACAAAGAAAAGCATGTAGAATAAATAAGCCATTGGATTTTATTCCACACCTTATTATGCATATTAACACATTGGGGACCGTCTATACATTAAGGGGGAGTATTTCCAGAGGTATCACACGCTCAAGCGCTACTAGGGTCTTTGGTGAGTATTTCCTGAAAATTTCAGTTCACAAAAATAGATAGCGAATTTGTTATAAATTTTGAAAGAAACACAGTATGAAAGTTGATTTCAATGGTTTAAGCCCTGGGAACACGCATTTGAACAATTTAAATGCCCTGTCCTTAGTGTGTTAAAAAAGAAAGGAGTGGGTCCAGGTGAGTCTACTCCGTGGAAATCGATTGTGGTATGTAAAGAGCAATGGGCCAGTCTACCCAGGTAGAAGAATCAGACAGACTCCACACTCAGGCAGACGGCGGGGGAGAAACACTGGAAGCACATGAGCGCTTTTGTGAGCCCTCACTGCATGCGCAGTGCTGCTCCGTTCTCCTAGATCTTGCATAGGAAATGGCATTTAAGGATTGTGGTGACGGTATCACGGCATCACGTGTGTCCAAACTCATCAAGGTGCATACATTAACTAGGTGCAATCTTTTGTACATGAAAGTACACTTTAATAAAGCTGAAAAAAGGACTCTTAGTTTGCTTGGTCCATTGCACTTGACCTTTAGAGTTCTAAAACCGTTCAGAATAATCTCATGAGCTTTTCAGTCAAGATTGCACAGTTTGTAATATTTTCTTTTTTTTTTTTTGAAGATTTTTAGTGGGGAATTGGGGGATGGGAACAGTGCTGGGGAATTGGAGGAAGGGGAACAGACAAGTTGCTGTCCTTTTGTTCTTCAGTCTAGTTGTGGAGGACGTTGCTTCACTGGCCCAAGTTGGCACCATCATTGCGCTCTTCCCGGGTGAGGCAGATCAGTCGCTGGCTTCTGGACGGCCGCTCACTGCGGCTGCTGGCCGCTCACGCTGGCTGCTGGCTACACACGGTAGCCCATGGCAACGCACTGCAGTAGGGGCTGCAGCCTACCCCATCACCTGGCAGCCCAGCTCCAGGTTGAGCTGTTGTTCAGCATCTTAGCTGTAGAGGGCAGTGTCACTGGCCCTCATATGTGGGATCTGAACTGGGGCCCTCTGGTGTCCCAAGCCAGCTCTTAACCATCGCGCCACTCAGCCGGCCCTGTAATATTTTCATAAGTTCATATAAAGAATTGTTTGGAATTGTCTTGCTATAGTAATATTCAAAATGCTGCAATACACAAGTTCATCCAGAAATTGCACTTCAGACTTCCCAGCAAATCTGGGAAGGGATTCTTTTCTGGAAATTTTCTTCAGTCATTAAGTTATTAGTGGGACAGATGTTTCTAAATTTAAATTGTTATTCTTTATCTCTTTTGAACTTATTCTGTGGGCAAAAGTCTGTTTTAATGCAATTTTATTTCTTCATGTATCTCCCAAGGTTACCCAGACCTTGCTCTTCAAGATATTAATGATTTTTTTTCAGCAATAGTGACTTAATCGCACAGGATGTACAGAGGAATGAAATCATGAAGCCAGTTGAAGGTGGTGAATTGATAATTAGATCAGGAACAGACTCTGTTTAGGTTTGAAAGCCATGAGTTAAGTTCACTAGGAGGCATAATTATGAGCGTTATAGGCTTGGTTAGGCTGCGTAGGAAGGCAGGCAGCTGTCACCTCCTCTAATGTGTCTGAGAAAGCTTGATCTGCCCCCACAGGAGAAGCGCCAGTTTTATTGGTTTGATTCTGCAGGTCCGTCTATACGAATGCTCTGGGTAGAATCGTCAGTAGTTCAAGTTATGTAAGGTGAGCTTAAAGAAAACTGTCAGAGTTTCCCCATCAGATACCTAGGCAGAATTAGAAATAGATGTATGTGTGTGCTCATGAGTGTATACATATGTGTACTTTTATTAATTGGATGTTTGAGGTATACACATGTAATTGAGCACCTATCTGCCAGACTCTATGGTGAGTATTTCACACTATTGCAATCTTCACTCCAAAGCATATTTTAAACAAGTTAAGAGGAAATTGGTTTTTCATTGCTTCTCCATGAGGGATGACATACTCGTATGTCACTATGGAAAAAAAAATATTCCCCTAGGCTTTTGAAAACTTTGGCTATGTGAAGAGTTAAGACAGTCACAGTGACTCACCCCAGAGAGACTCAACCTTGTACACAGGCTCCCCACCTACCAGAAAACTCTAGTTCAGCCCTGATCTATGAGGTCCTGTCTTCCTTTTCTCACTAAAAAACCTTTCCTGCCTATGAAACTCCCTGTTCTAATGGAGTGACATGTGGGCAGATGGAAGAGCTCATGCAGAGGTGATTTGCATCCCAGCCCTTCTTCCTCATAGCTGCTGCCTGTAGTGTCTCTAAACCTGGAAGTTCTGTAGGGTCGCATCTGTGTCCTAGTCACTGACGTATCCCCACCGTGCTATGCAGTGATTAGCATGCTTGGTTTTCTTCTCTGTAAAGTGGATAAATTATAAAGTTGTCATGAGTGTGAAATAAAACATTAAAAATGCCTGCCATCCTGGCATGTGAGAGGTTCGTACACATTAGGCAGTTCGTACACTTAAACACATGAAGTTTAAGGGCGCTGCCCCCAGGGCCAGCCTGCCTGGGTGTCACAGCAACCTGGGGCGAGTTACTGTACTCTTCTGTGCCCTGCAATCCTTTTCTGGAATGGTATCGAGAGTTCACACTTATTCCTATGCACCTGGCACTCTTCTAAGCTCTTTGTTTTTATTAACGTATTTAAACCTCACAACAAACCTTGTGAGGCAGACAATGTAATTACCACCACTTTACAGATGAGCTGGTAAGTGGTGAGGCCAGGAATCAAGCCACGGCAGTCTGGCTCTGACATCCTTGCTTTTTGCATCACTGTACTAAACTGCCTTTCTGACTAAACCTCTGTAAAATGGGGGTGATGATTGGCTTGTGTTGAAGATTAAATGAGTATTTGTAAAGCAATTAGATCACCGCCTAGCACATGGTACTCAAAAAATGTTAGCCTCTGTGAGTTGCCATTATCCTTATGACCATCTATCACATGGCTTTTTGGCTTGAATATTTAAGGTGTGTAGCCTGGCCGGGCTGCAGTGGTACTCTGTCTACCATTATGGTATCTTCACATACCTACAACACTCTCTACTCTTTCACTCGTTACAACTCTTCATATAGGACTAAGGATTAAAGACACTTCATCAAAACGTATAGACTTTTTGCCAGGTTCTAGTTTAAGGGTTCTAGAAGACCTTCAATGAGTAATTTATAACGTGTTGAACTTTGGAAACTCACTTTTATTCAGGTGGCCGTTGGCCACTGGATTCAATCATGATTTTCATTGTCTCCTACCCCCCATTGGAGTCAATCACTTGAACATTAAGCGATGATAATTGTTAATTATACAAATTAATTGACACATTTGATGATTAATTTATCAGTAGCCAAAGTGTGACTTTTTTTTCATAGACTGAAGAAAGCTCTTATTTAAGCCTGTGATAGCTATCCTAGGAAACACATGACCCTTTTAAATCCTTCGTTAGACTATATTAGAGTTTTCTTATCCTCTCTTTTATTTTACTTTATTATTTGTCAGCTTTGCTGCCCTGCTTAGCAGTATGGTCAATAACATATACAGACCTGAGCTGCAATTTCTCTCAGGTCAAAACAAGAGAAAATATTGACGACCTCCCTAATTTAGTCTGAAAGTTCAAGGAATCAAATATATGTAATGAATGAACCCTTTACTTTGTCAATTATGTCAACATATAATGTAGTTTCATCAGAAGAGAAAATTATGTAAGTATAGTAGAGTGAGAAAGTATTTGAGGGAGATCGCCATATTAAAGTCCATGTGACTATGGTTTCTGCCTCCCTGCCTGCCGCCAGCATGCTCTAAAGGGTGCAGCATCACCTAGGGTTTGTATAGGACGGCTGTCTCTGATGTACAGCGTCATGTATTAACAGTAACTCCACAAAGGAGGAGGACCAGAGGAATGAAGCTCCCTGAACTTGCATTACCTCACCTGCACAGTAAGGGGCTGGGAGTCAGTGAATGATTTCTAAGGCTTTGTGAGGCCCCTGCTTACTTTGAGGCCTGTACTAGTAATGTCCTGGGCATTAGTTAGGAAACCTGCTTTTACCATCACACTTTCCATCATATGCAATTTCACTGTGACCGCTCCTTGATCCTTCCCCAGTTATCAAAGGGTATATTT